CTTAGAGATGTGATGAAGTCATTGAGCATTTAATAATTGTTGTTAAACACTCAATGTATTTGATTACTAACTTGTAAGTCAATAAGGGCTTTTTATTTAATAATTTTTTCAGGTAAAATATTTGATATATGGGACATCATTTAACCGTTTACAGATTTGAGCTAGCTCATCCCGTTTGGGAGATATTACAAATTCAAACTGGAACAAAGATATTGGCCGCCTATATAACATATGATTGTAGTTGTGTTTATTGAGTGTCTTTCGAGAGACGGTGTTTTACTTTATAAAAATACTTTTATTTTTGGTGTAATAAATGTACAAACTTTACAAACAATATTATTGAAACTGACAATTAATGCAAAACAGTTCATATAATACAGTAAAGTACTTTATATATTATTCAGTGAACATGCAGTAGCGTAAATAACAATGGCATAGGTACTATTTGGGTATGTGGGTTATACTGTATGTATGTTGTCACTTTTTGCATTCATTTTTAACCACAATTCAGCTGTGAATAATGTGGTTTATAGGACCGTTAGGCCCCCTCCCCTTCCGTAGACAGTATATTGTATAGAAACATTAGAATCATATAAATCTCGTAAACTATATTCTATAATCTTATAACGGTAATCAAAATGTTATACAACTGTAATCCCATATATTTGGCACATTTCACAGTTTCTGAAAATAGCAATAATATGAGCTCCGGTTTGTTCGGTCATGTGATCTTAAAGTATATATTTGTTGTATAAAACGCCCGTATAGTTCACCCGTTCATACCGGGAGTTAAATATAACAACCATTGTTCAAATATAACCATGTTCATCATTGAATAAAAAGCCCTTATTGACTTACAAGTTAGTAATCAAATACATTGAGTGTTTAACAACAATTATTAAATGCTCAATGACTTCATCACATCTCTAAGCGTTTAATGTAATGGATATCTTAAATAGCAATCAATAATCTGTTTTACCCTAAAATTTTAATCCAAATTATATCAACTATAAGTAAATACAATTAAATTGTTTCAAAATCATTTTCAAAATATTTAATTCTTAATGACTGGTAATAAAAAAATATCATATAAACAATTAATTGTAATAATTATATAAATAAATCAAATGAATGATTAGATGATAGGATAAACGAAAAGATATCATTGAAATGTTGGTCAAAAGTGACTTATTTGGAGTTAAGAGCCTTTCGTGATCTCCAATTGGAGAAGACGTTGAGATCATATTCATCGGCGTCTGAATCACTGCTCTCCTCTTTGATGGCATCTCTTTTGTTGACGATATGGTTGTGAAGTATTTCCGCCTTTTTCTGCATTTCATTCACTTTCTGCCAATTGGCGATCTGTTCCTCAATTTCCTCCAAATTGCGGTCTACTTGTAATTCTTCGATGTCTTCGACAATGATATTCTCGGACGCGTTGTTCTCCTCAGCGATCACTTTCTGGAACTGTTCCCACTGTTCATCCATTGGATTCTTGAACACAACCTTTCGTGCCTTCGCGTCCATCACTGGATCATCAAAAAAGCCTTTCGGCAAACCCTTCTCCTCGTCATTGGTATCCATTTCTTCGTCTTTTGATTCAATTATTTCCTCATTTTTTACCGCAATTTGTTTTGAATCGTCAAAGAAATCGCTCGGAAGACCTGATTCTTGGGATTTACTTTCTGTCTTTGAATTGTCCGCCAAATCATCATTTGTTTCCATCACTTCATTTGATTCATTCGCTAACTCTTGAGATATTAATTCAGAAGTATTTTTAGATAATTTATTCTGTATTTCATCTGAATTTGTCTCCATTTTTCGTTTCACAGTTTGCTTTACTTCTTGTGGTTTAGTCTCAATTTTGACATCACTTTTGGATTCATTCCTCTTTTGATCCGATTTTCTTCTCTTCATTTCTTCCATTTTCTATTGAATAACAATTAAATCAATTCAAAATCAATTCTTGGGATCAAATGAAAGACATGACAAACAATATACCATTTTGTGAGACTTGGAAACGATATGTGACGACCAGAGAGCGGCTGAAGAGATGGTCTGTTGGCATACAATACAAGAGAGTATTCCTCGGGAGTCATATCGCGCTAACGGCGACTCAATTGTCTTCTTCTGGAGCGAAGGTAAGCCCTCTTTGTCTTTGGATTCCTTCATATCTCTCATCATTTCTCTCAACTCTTTCTGCGATAACTTCTTCGTTGAACTCATTTTGTAAACTATTTTTAATTCAAAACTTAATTAAAAGTAATTTTTAAATAAATTTATTTAAAAATATGTTTTATTTACAAATGCTTTTCAAAGCCATTCATATAAATCGTAACGCAATATATATTTTGTCCCCTTTTTTGAGCGCAATTTACATAACAATATAACTAACGGTTAAAACACTTAATTTGTATTGTATTTATTGCTATAATAATTGCTATTAAATTATAATTTTTATAGAATTTAAAAATATTAAATCTGTTATAATTATATTAATAATTGATTAAAATTACAATTAAAAACATATAAATAATGAAACGATAAAACAATACAATTGTAATAATAATTAGCCGTAATTTGTGTTGAGTTAATGATTGACAACAACTGAATGGTTGTGTAAAGCGATGTCTGATAAGAGAAATGCAAACATTTATTCAAACATTTCATAATCACTATTAATATTGAATGAAATGTTTGTTTGTTTTTATTGTTTTTCATTACAATTAAGTGTTTTATTATATAATTGAATGAAACCATAGTTTATATCATTTGTTAATTTATATCAACCATTGATTAGTAGTTTATTTTGAAGACAAACCAATCAAATGATCAAAACAATTGATTTTTCACAACAAATGGTTTGATTTGTTTGAATGCTTTGAAGAGTTTTGTGCCGAAGAAGTATTAGTGGAGACAGACGTCGATATCATTGACTCAATTGATGGACAATGAGATGAATATTAGACCTCAAGTGCGGATCAGACAAACCAACGACAGACACGACTCACAACTGACACCCTCTGCAACACAACCCATGAAAACGACTACAAATGTTGGCATCACTTCAATCACATCCCATCCGACCTCCAGACCAGTCGTGGCGGCGAAGACCTCCACCACTGGTGTCCCAAACGTGTCGTCAAATCAGAGTTTTTACAACAATTGTCTGTCGATAAGGCAAGAGATCCAGAGGTTTGAATCGGTTCATCCATCCATTTATGCCATCTATGACCTCTTGGATCTCATATCTGATCCCATTCTTGGCCAACAAATACGCGAACACGTCGTTTGCATTGAAGGTATGTTTTTAATGAGTTGTCAATCCTTTCCCTCAAAACATATGTTTATTTCACTATTTATTCAAATTTTGTATTTTATGTCACATTTGGATTGAGTTTACTATCAATTAAATTGTAGGCAATTATTGATTTCAATTGTATTTAAAAGCAAAGCTTTTAATTATATTTTAACTGAAATATTGGTTTTATAACATTGAATATAACATTAGATTTTAAATGAATTATTGATTTGATAGCGAAAAGCAAAGACAATATTAGTATTCAAAATGTTTATCCAACAGATGTTTATCTCATTATATGT